CCTGCTGCTGCTGCTGATGTAGTAACATTACCCTTTGATTACAGCTAGTTACCATTAAATCCCAAACTCTCAATTTCAAGGCAAAAGGCTTCAATTTTACTTCTCTTGGCAGAGTGTAAACTGTTTTAAATGGGAAAAAAATAGCAGACATGAAATAAGAGCTCTGATTTAATGTTGTCAACAACTTCTGTACAGTTGCAAGGACCAAAACATTGTGGAAAAATGTTGGAATGCTTTTTCCATCTAAAACTAGTAAAGACGTCACTTACAAAACTCTAAAATGTATTAAACAGATTTCCTTTTCCACATTAAGCAATCATGGTACGATCAAAATGAATTTAGCTTTTTATTTTCCTAATAAATTAACACATTACTCAGAAGTTTTATACCAATTCAGGCATCAAGCAGCTACACTCAAATGCTAGCAGGTACAGTGTTAACAATTTTGTTACAAATGCTGTGACGAAATTCAATGTAAATACATCAGTTTAATATTTCCAATATCAAAGTCCCAAAGTCTCATTACACATGTAATGTTCCTTGATAATGGACCCTGTTCCACATTAAAATTCCATCAGGACAGACCCATGAAGACTTAGCACTGTTTTTCCTTTTCAGTTTAAGAAGTGAATACAGAATATCAAACAGAACTTTTCACAAATATCTTCTACTACATATGAAGTAAGATAAAGAAGTTGCAACAGTTACTATGTCATTAAATTACCTTTGGGAAACATTCATATACCATTGTGCACTACATAGTTGACTACCGCATAAAACATTTTTTATCACACCATAAAACAATTAATGATAAAAATTATCACCAATTTCATGATACTGAAATGCTCCAGCTAGTAAAGCAAAATTAAATATACAGAGTCGCTAGTATTATGGTGTCAAATTTTTCACACAAGAAATGTCCTTATCTAACCTGGATCATATTTCATCAGTCTTAAAGGAATGGCATAAAAGAAGCCAAACTACTTCAGAGTCAATCTCAAAACTAAAGGAAGCAGCTGCCTTAAAAACACGACTATTTTGCTTTAAGGCAACTAAAAGCAAAGGAACACCATAAACGGAAGTACCCTTTCTCTGTGGAGCTATGTCTAGTCCCTGTCAAAGCCAGGGGACTGAACTGGATAGGCTCAGATCTGATCCATTACAGCTGTTCTTATGTACTTTACACATAGCCCGACCTAATTGCTGCTGAACAGAATTTTGCACATTTCCATTAAATACTTAATGACTTTATCAGCCTGTGAATGCAGTTTCCCAATACACATTCTGGTCATTGCTATGAAGTCTCTAGGATCAGTACACCACTGCCTCTTCTCTGCAGTCATGACTATTAAAAATTCTGACTGATTAATCAACTTTCCCAGGATACTACAAAATACAAAGGGGAAACTCATTTGAACAGTGAGGTGGGCTAGAGACCTGATGACAACTTTACACCTTGTCATTGCCCAGTAGCTGAGTACTATTACTACACAGCTTCTATCTCAGTCACCCACTAAAACCAGAAGTAAAGTTTGATGTGTATTTCATAAGTCAGTCTTTAAATGATGCCTATATGTGGGAATCCCTGTCCTGATGAGTAGAAGTGACTTCCATCTGGGAGTTCAAGTTCTACAGGTAATGAGGTTTACTTTGGGCACAGTCTTCAAAGTTCTGTTGTATTGGAAACTTGTATTTTTTTTCAGCTTGAGGAAATATTATGTACAACAACTAACTGGAAGCCCATATTAATCTCTAGAAAAAGTAAGTTTCCTTTACAAACCTTAATTTAATTTCTACAGAAGGATAAAAATATACAAATCTATGCTGGATATTAGAAACAAGGCAGCTGAGGGAAATGCTGAATATTGCTTATTTATTATAAAGTCCAGTAACAGTTATGGTGGACTAAAAAAATCACCTGGTGCTAAGGAGTTATGAAGGCTTAGTTATTTGCTTTTCCCATAAAAGCCAGTCATGTTCTTGCCTAGTGCTTCAAATCCAGTTTCCCAGCCATAATGGACAAAAACATTCTCTGCAGTCTCTACAACTGAACAAATACTCAAGAGCTAAGT